CCAATTTTGTTGGCTGAGCTAGCTGAGCCTGTCCGTCGCGAATTCCGTTGCTCTGTAATTTCTTTGTCCGAGCGTAACATCTTAATATTTAGTGCGAAGAGTGGCACGCTCTCTCGTGCCTGGCGCCCAACGAAAATTAGTACGGCTCGAATATCGTAGCATATAAAATTTAAGGAAGAACCGCACTTTTGCTAATTACATTATTGTGTCCATCTTTTGAGCTATCGCGTAAAAAGAGCAGCGGATGAAGTGACGAAGTTGTGCCGTTTCCCCAAAAGTACGGTCACAATATATATATATATTTCTTTTCAATTTAGTCTTCCTCGTGAATACCTTAAACGTATCCATCCGTACAACCTCAGCGTCATTGTCAATATTCTGTTTAGCTATATAAGTCGTAGCAACACAGTTTTATATTTTAATGTTAAAAAAATACATAGTCGTCACCTGTTTCAATCATAGAAACACCATTGCCATAAACATTTGCTACAAATTAGACAACGCTGATGGTTGCAACTTCCATGCATTCTTCGAATCAGGGATATTACATATAATGTAACATTTTTATCTGTATCGAATAACACTTACATTTTAACCATATACATATATATATATTATATATATATTGTGACGTGACACTTCGTGTCCGTCACTCGTAAGTGCATTGGCACGGAGATCCTGTGTCCTCTAAACTCGAAGGGCGAGGGCACAAGCGAGCGTGCCAAATTTATACTTTTTTTGTTTCGTTTTGTATATTCTTTTATATAAAATATTTAGTAATTTCAGATTTTTAAAGAACGATTATTAGTCACATTAGAGCGTGAGCGGTGGTTATCTTGGATTCGTGTAATGTTGCCGCCTCACTCACGGAAGGAAGAAAGAAGACGTCGTGGAGGAAGCAAGAAACCACCAAAGAAGATCCCGATTGTGTCCTCAAGGAGCGCGGTACACGCAGGTCGTATTGTTTTGTAACCTCTGATAATTTGGATATTATTTGGTGATTGTCGCACCTTTATTGCAGACGACTCGGAGAGAGACGTGATAAGGGACCGTCTTAGCACGGCCCGAACATCGGCAGCTGCCTCCACTTCTGAGGAGAGCGATAGAAGACCGCTGATCAAGACGGAAAGCCTCGGCCAGCTAATTTGGAAAAGCGCGCCAGAGACTCAAAGGATACGCGACCCGCAGGACTCGCTGTGATTAGTCGCGGGGTTGCGCGACAGCAACAAGCCAATTAGAATAAAGAGCGGCCCGATAGGAGAGGGGCCTAGCGGCCTGCGTGGATCCGCGAATGCTCCCGATTATCACTTGCGCGGTGATCGAGTTCATGTAAAGAGGACACGGGATCTCCGGAGCTTTTGGGAACTGAGAATGCTGTCTACCGTTGCCGAGAAATTAAGAGGCGGAGGTTTTCCTCTGAAGGATCAACGAGGGATCGTTACGTGGTGAGGCGAGCGTTATCTTATAATTTGTGTAAAACCACCGATCGCGGTATGTGAAATGCGTCTCGAGTGGATCGCGCGTTACTCGGTATTTCGTGTTAGAGTTCCCGATGTCGTATTCACCGCCTCAAGGCGTTTTAAAGTAATCGTTGCCGTAGGCGCGTGCCATTCGCTCGGACGCTGAGATTATTGAGAAGTATAATTATTGTTGTTGCTCGCCCTCGTTGCCGCCAAGTCACTTATGTAATTGTTAATTGTTGAGAATTCTTTAAAGCCGAGACTGGCGTTATTGCGCATTAGAGAACCGTTGCCGTCTAATGTAAAATCGTATGTTCTAATCATTTACGAAGTAATTATTGTTAACATAATAAGATCTAGATTTGGTCGTATATTTCTACTCGGCGAAGTATTGCCGAATTTCCTTTCTGTAGGCGACGGCCAGTTAATAGTCGATTTATTGTTATTGCGCCGCCTATCAGAGCGCGGAAGGTCAACGCTGTAACGTACTTTCTTTCGAACACTTTTGTACAGTCTCTATTAAATATATCGATTTCTCTTCATTGTTATTATTAACTCTGGTGCATTTATTTCAGCCTCTCCATCGTTCTCCGACAATTTCCTCGCTAACCGCGAACCACTCCCCTCTGCCAATTCCGTTGGCTGAGCTAGTTGTTTAGTTCCGTCGCGAGAATCCGCGTAATCTTTAATTTCTTGTCCGAGCAATTTATCTAACGATTTGTGTGAAGAGTGGCACGCTCTCTCGTGCCTGGCGCCCAACGAATTTTTGATAGCGATTAAGATCTTTGCTGAGTAAAGTAATTTGTCAACCACTGTAAATTCTCGAATCACGAAAGAATTAATGAAGAACCGCACTATTGCTCCTTTAAGTATTTTGTATTCTAACTAAGAGCTTTCGCATAATTAGATTTCTTTTGGAGGACGCGACGAAGTTGTACCGACACTCAAAAGTACGGTTACAATATATACACATTTAAATGACATTAATTTCACAGGTGGGTGTAAGCATTCTGTGGCTTTCCTTATGTGGGTTCACCGGAGAACAGAAAGTCCTTCGCCAACAGAGGTTGAATGCTATTGGAAAAAGTCAGCATTATCCACCATTGGCACAACGAAGAAAGTTATCACAACAAAAGAGTTGTGCGATACACGAAGTGCTGCTGAATCCAGTTGTTGTCTTCCTGACAACTTTTTTTTCCTGCAAACAGTTTTGGAGACAGCGAAGGAAAAGAAACTGTTGAGTGCCTTAACTAGGCATAATTATACACTCCCAGACAACTTGACATCTCTAAGCATTCACCAGTTGCTAATTGCATTCCTTGATCTTGGAGCATCAAGTGCAGTGGATGATTTTTTGGCATTTGCTTCTACGCAAATGGAAAATACATATGAACAAGCTCAGCTGCGAACCAAAGACCAGAAAGATAATTCATTATGGTATGAATTACGGTATGGCAGAATAACAGCTTCGAAGATGTATAAGGCTGCACATTGTTGTACTGAAAGTGGATCCTTGGTTCGACAATGCATCGGTGCCACCAAAGTGTTTGATACACTTCCAATGCAACGAGGGCGAGTACTTGAAGAAGAAGTGCTTTCAGTTCTCGAGAAGAAAGTAAATGCCAAATTCAGAAAGTGTGGCCTTCTATTGAGTCCAAAATTTCCTATTCTTGGAGCTTCACCGGATGCAATTTCAAACGAATTTGTTGTCGAAGTGAAGTGTCCAAGTAGTCCTAAAACAGAAAAGGATTTTTTACCAGGTGGGAAAGTAAATTCAAAATGCATGGCTCAAATTAATTTGCAAATGTTCTTGGCCCATAAAAAAAAAAGGTTTGTTTTGTGTCGCAGATCCAAAGTTTGAAGAAAATTAAAATGTTAAGTTTTTTTGGATAGAATACAATGAGGATTATATGATGGAATTAATTAACTTAGCGATGAATTTTTGGAAAAAAAATATATATACTGTATTGTTGAACTCTGTAAATAAATAAATAAATATATTTCAAACATAATAACGTATTTACACAATTACACATTTTCAAGAAACCACATAATCATTCGAAGCCAATATTTCACATTTTAATTAGTGGACTTTGAATATTCACAACAGCGGCAGCTATCATTACGCTGTCATCTATAGTACGTAATAAGGAATGATGTAAGCAGGAGTGCGGAATAAGTAAATGGAATTCTCTTAATCTCCCAATCACTCTTTCAATATGAATCATCAAACTCGCTATACGTTTTGTTTCCATTACTTCACTTTTGCTGAGTTTTACATTTGCTGAAACACTAGGTGGTCTAATCAAAATACAGTTTTTCTTGCACAAAATTGATTGAATTTGTTTGAATCCACGGTCTGCCATAACTCCACATTTTTCGGGTAAAACTTCCATTATGCCGCATTCTTGAAATAAATTGGTGTCACTAATCCTACCACCAAATCCACGAGAGACAAAATTAATAAATCCATCAGGCGAACAAGATATTAAATACTTTAATGTGTTGCACTTTTTATATTCGGACCATGTCGGAGATTGTTGCACAGGCTTCGACGGTTTTTCTATTTGTATTTCAAATGCATCAATGATTGATTGAACATTACCATAATTTGCTCTGAATGGTATTGGTAATAATTTTTTAACATTCTTTTCATTTGAAAAATAGATGAAACTTTTTAACATGTGAGCCACTGTACTAATGTTGTTATTAAAAAATCGACTTATACTACAACGAAATATACCAAACTGTTGTCCTAGTCTTTCAAAGCTGTCGTCAAGCTTTATTTTCATAAATATCATTTTGATCACTTCACTTTTTATATTTGTTTGGGTACTCAGTGTCTCTATCAGCCACAACCATTCACTCGGCATGCCAAGATAGTTCTTCGGATCGCTGTTAATAAAAGATATTATCATGTTACGTGCAGCAACATTTTCCATTTCTTTATCCGATAGCTCATTATCATCAGATGGAACGTAATCTGTAGATTCTCCTGATAATACTGAGGAAGATTTTGTTAGTGACGTAGACTCAGATAAATCCTGACATGATGTTTTAAAATTATGTCCACTAGAAAGTATCGGTGGTGTTTGTGTGCTGGTTGTTGCAAAGGAAATTAAATCGTTTGTATCGCATGCCAGATCTTTTACACTCGGTTTACATGAAACTCCTTTAGAACGATAATGCGCAGAGGAAGGCACTACAGACACTTGAATTCCATAGCTCCGAGTAGAATTTTCAGGAACAACATGTGAAGATGAAAGCACACATTCGCTGACAACATCTGAGCAAGATGGTTCGGTGCTAACAACATAAGTACACGATGGCCTTGGTTCAAAATGTTCAGCACTAGTGACAGGTGGTGTATTTTCTATATCACAAACACTAGAATTGAATGAAGTACTTTGTTCTTCTACTTCCTTTCTCTTTTTTGATGCCTGTTTGTTGCTACATTCGGCTAGAATCTCTTCCACTTGCCTCTTTCTATTAAGTTTTTCGTAACCGCTCCGGAGCTTAGGTTTTCTAGTAGTTCGGTCTCTATCTTGTTGACAACTGAAAAACCTTGGTACTACGTCCTTCTTTATTTTTATAGGTCCTCCTTGCAAAGAAAAATGAATGAAATTTTCCATATCTTCTTCGAGCTAGAATTTAACAATTTCAATATTTTAGGTTAGATTTGTTTTTATACAGTAAATGTATGTTTTATGTATACAAGTAAAACAATACTATCAATTATACTTATATGAGGAAAATGTGTATCTATATTGATTACTTACATTAAAGTGATCTTCACAACAGTAATACGTTGTTTTTTCGTTCATATCGTTTCGTCGAGCTATCTGAAACCACACTTTTCGACGATTGACATCTCTTGGGACATGAACGAAAACTTTTTCAGGTGCATTTTTGCTCGTATTAGTGCACAAAGGTACAAAACAACACTTGTACGTGCTCATATTTTTATTTCAACACGATATTATTTTAAATTGTAAAATTTTCTCCAACCGTTAATGCGAATTCGTATTGTAAAACGGAGCAAACTAGTATCGTGACGTCACTCGATGCTTCGGAAGGATTCGGGAGTTTCCGGCGCGTTTTCAGAACGTTCAAATTCTTGCATTTTTAAATCGCGTTTCTAGGATAATTTGTAGACTTAAAAAGAAAACAAAAAAATACGGGTCAAATAAAATCACATTTTACATCAATTTAAGGGATTTTTAAACAATGTGAGAGAACCTAATTTGACACCAAAATAAACGTTTTTACGGGGTGGCATCGAAAATTTAAAAAATTTCGATTAAAATTGGGCACCCTAATATACATACATAATATATATCGAATCAGGATGACAGATATCTTAACCTGTAAAGTCTCGAACTTTAACGCTTAAGAACTCGGTTCACAAGGCCGATCCCCGCATTTTTCTTATAGATTCTTTCGTTCTGAGTGAAAACGCGCGACGAATGATTATAATTTTAAAAAACAACAATCAATGTACGACCTTTACGAGCAATAATTAGATCTTAAAAATTAACAATCATAATATTCATATTTAATATAATCTTACAAAGACATCATACATGCATTTCATACATCAATTTCAAACGTTTCGGCTACACAGAGCCTTCATCAGTGAATTACAATAGTCTCAAATTAAATGGAACCCTAATTTTCGGTAACAGTTAAATAATGTATAACCTTCTTTATTGGTGTCCTTCTTCTTTTCAATCCACAATAGTCTCAACATCAATATAGTCATATTAAAATCCAAGTATTAGAATTTGATCATTTAAATGCGAGAAATTCAATTATGTCAAAATCTAAATACAATAATTACACAAAAATTAAGTCATCATAAATCTTAAAATGCTAATTAATACAAGGTAAAAACTTACATTGTCCATTATTTTAAAAGCTTCCAAATTAAAAAGAAGAAGAGCAACGTCAATTAACATGTTGAAGTATCTCATGACAACAATGTAATGAACGAACACAGAAACAATTGAAAGTCAACCGACAATCTCAAAACATACAATAATATAATTGGTCGACAATAACGGAAACAATCATAAGTTCATTGGAAACATCAATTTTTATACAAGAGAATATAAGGTTATAATTGGTTAACAATAATATCTTAAAGGTTCGAAAATTTTCGTGTCGAAATCTCATTTAAAATAGAAGAATAAGATCCACTCAATAGCTCAGTATCTCTCATATAATTCAACCCTTTTGGTTGTTCTTTAATGTGTAACATCTCTGAAATCAATCTTTTTTTGTAATTATGTTCCACATCCATAATGTTACCGAAAATTAGGGTTCCATTTAATTTGAGACTATTGTAATTCACTGATGAAGGCTCTGTGTAGCCAAAACGTTTGAAATTGATGTATGAAATGCATGTATGATGTCTTTGTAAGATTATATTAAATATGAATATTATGATTGTTAATTTTTAAGATTTAATTATTGCTCGTAAAGGTCGTACATTGATTGTTGTTTTTTAAAATTGTTCGAGCGTGATATTATTACTATTGAGTATAATTTTATTAAGATTTTAAGAGAGCAAGCTATACTCTACCTTTTAGAAGACACGTATTTGTCTTATAGTTTTCGTATAGTTTGCTCTCCTAAAATCTTAATATTAACTCTAATAAGATGCTATAAGCATCGAAATTTGTTAGATTGATTGTCAATTTAACTAAAGTGATATTACCGCGGTAGTTGTTTAGAATTGCGTTGTAAGTCTGAAAAAAATGTTCGGCACGCGATTAGGGGAACTACATACGCGGTATATAAAATTCACACAATAAACACTAACATCTTGTTTTACAAGACTCGATTAGGCATTTCACTTTCTAAGATTTTTGACCGGAATAAGTCACAGCCCAAAGTCGTCATAATAAAACGTGAAAATGACGTTATAAGAAGACGTAAAAATGACGTGTCAGAATACTCGTATTTAGCTCTATTTTGACATAAAACAGACATTTTTGTATTTTTTAAGGCTCTTGAATACCGGCGACGGCCATGTTGGAATTGCGATGTCATAGGCGAGAAAAACATATTAATTTTTCTTGTGTCCCATTTTTTAATAAAGACAATTTGGATAAATTTAAAAGGCGAGATCGCTCAAAAACACTTGTGAAAATTGGCGGAAACTGTCCTTTCCTCCTCTGATAGTTAGTAAATGGTCGTAAAAGGCACATAAAGTGAGCCTATACTCGGACAGAATCACACAGTTTAACAGCTTATGAAACAAGTGAAATATACGCTTTTACGTATAAAATTTCACGATAACTGCAGTTTCCGCCAATTTTTAGGACTTTCACGAGTACGAGGGAAGTCACATTTTCACAAATAAGCAAATATTGACGAAATGGAACGCAAGAAAAATTTTGTCGTCAAAACTGGTCAAAACATCACTTTTCCACTCCTATATTAATTCAGCCTTTTACCATGGCGAGGCGCTATACACACACACAAGCATGAACCCATGTCTGTGTGCTCCCCTTCTGCCCGAAAATGAGCACAAGGACATGAGCTTGCATTTATGTGTATTGAGCCTTCTACAATAAGTCATAAGTCATAAATCGAAAGTAAGAAACTAAAAATTGACGACTGTGATTGGTCCATTTCTAGCTTATGACTTATGATTTGTGACTTACGGCTTATTGCATATGTCAATTATATTGTATATGTCATATTGTATATGTCAATTATTGGGCATATGAAGTCTGTGATCAATAATCACCATTTATCGACTTGAATATCACGTGACGTTGCTGCCTGGGTATAAATATTCAATATGGCGATGAAATGTTACAAGTTATTCCGTTCGACGGACATGGCAGTACA